CTTCTTTGTATCTTCTCAATTTCATCGATGTCTTTGATGAGGTGTGGTGACCACACCGGGCAGGCGTATTCCAAGATTGGACGAACCAAGGTTTTGTACAAGTTTGAAAAAATATCTTTGTTTTTACCGCCTACTGAGCGTTTAAGTAAGCCAAGAACCTTATTTGCTTTGCGAAATATTTGTTCATATTGCCCACAGGCGCTGCCAACTACATGTTAAAGTGCGTTATTTGATAAGGGTGAAGCTCAAATAGATTATCACTCAGTGAGATCCAGAGCATGCGTGGATCAAACCGTTTAAAACAGCTTTCCAGCGAAACGGATGTTAAATGTTTAAGCGACCTTTCTATGCTTTAAAAACAGCGAGACTTGAGGAATGGCAATGGCTGGCTCTTGGGGGGGGGGGTTCGCATGATGTTCATATACTTTAAATAGGGCTTATTCGGTTAAGTAACGCATTTTAATTGAGAGCACTTGAAAATACCTAAAAAAAAAAAAAACTAAGGTGCAATATATTCAATCTCCTTCCATCAATAAGAAAAGCATGGAGGCAGTTGACTTACAAAGGACCTATGATAACTTTAAAATTTCGATGAAATACTGAAGAATTTATCAATTTCCCTGATTTTAAAGTCAGAACGAAGTGGATTTGAGAGAACAATTATCATAGACCTTATGTAGAAAAAAAAATTCAGTGACTAAAGTGAAACAGTTAAGTTTTTAGCTGTGTGAAATTTCAGCTGCCTCGTGTCCTCAAACAACACAACTTATCAGGGAGCTAAAGTTTAAAAAGAGATTGATATGAGTAGATGAAACAAGAGAAAATTCGCTTCCTGAAAGAATAATTAAAAAAAAAAAGTTCAAATACTTCTGTCCTGACATAATTTTGCATCCATATTTGAAAATATCTAATCTCTTAGTTTGAATTAATCAAAATGCTTTTATTTTTTTCAATTAAAACTTACCTCAACCTGTGTGATGACTCTCCCCTCAGGGAAAATTACAAAAAAAAAAAAAGCATGATGGGCCGGCATCTGGAAGCGTGAAAAAGCCGAAACAAAGGTATTTGAATCCTTTTAGCTCAGTCGAAAGTCTTCAAATATTAATTAGAAGAGGTTCGATATCAACAAAACCATTGTTTGAATTACATGTGTTTCAATTCTCCACTGAGATAGAAATTAATGAGGAACGGAAGCGAGTTTTATTAGATGTCATTGAAACAGCAAACAACATCTGAAACATTGGTTGTCTAAGTCATCTTGCTCCTCATTTCGAGAAGTTTCATTTACAAACATTCATGGAAAAAAAACACATATCTTGTCTTTTAACTAAATATTGAATTTTCTTTCTATAAAATTTGTGTAACAGTGAGATTCTCTGCTTTACATGTCAAAGTATCATTTCTTATAATGTAGCAGTGGAAAGTCTCTAAGAAATCATGAACGAGAGCAATTTATCTTGCTTCCACCTTCCTGATCCAACTTTTCACGAAGTATCTGAGCGTTATACGATGAACCTTGTTACAGCCATAATCAATATGGTAACTGCCCCCCTCGCTGTTATTTGCAACCTTTTAATTTTCGCTGCTATCGTCTCTCGGCTAAGAACACCATCAAAACTTTTGATTGCAAGTCTGGCCCTCTCGGATGTCTTTGTTGGTCTTGCAGTTCAGCCGGGTTACATCATGTACCGACTCATGGAAAATCAGCATCGCTCCGTTCCCTGCTTTGTCAGAATTGTATATGCAAATGCTTTCTACATTTGTTGTGGTGTGGCCTTCATGACACTGGCTGTTGTCAGTTATGAGCGATTGCTTGCAGTTCGACTTCTGGCGAGGTACAATGCTGTGTTCTCCTTCAGACGTATACTGAAGTATATGGCGCTTATCTGGATCCTTAATATTTTTTTCACAAGTCTACAGTGGGTTGGGGTAAACCAGATCTCAAGAGGCATACATCTGATTACCTGGTTCATATGTCTTGTTGTAGCTGGAGTATCAAACATTGGAATTATTTTGAGTTTTCGACAAAATCGTTTTCGCGTGCGACCAACAAGTCGTCATCTATCTAGAGAAAACCGGAGCAGAAGACGAGCATCTAGAGAAGTAAACATAACAAGAAGTATTTCATTTATCGTTGGAGTTTACTTGATGTTTAATATGCCAGTTTTGCTTGTGACAATTTATCACCAGATATTGGAGGAGGATATCATGACGTATAACCACTACAGTTGGACAGAAACTCTTGCTTTCCTCACTTCATGCATAAATCCATTGGTGTGTTGTTGGAAAAGTCGTGAAATTTGGCAAGCAGTCAAAGCAGTATTAGATAGAGTGTTTTGCAGTATTAGATAGAGTGTTTTGTGAATGAAATACTAAAGACGGTAAAAAGAATTATAACGCCATAGCTGGATGGCTCTCAAAGTTCTATATTCTCAACTTGTGTTCGAGTCCATCATGCGCAGTTGGAAAATTATGAAAATTATATCGAGGGACCAAAGCATGCTATTATGCAGAATTTGTTTGTCACAGAGAAAATTTAACATCTGCAAACCTACAATTTCAAAACAAGAAAAATACAGTTAATTAATATGCATGTTTAAGCCAGATTTTGCTTTGTTAGCGCTCTTCGTAGTCATTTTCGTTATTAATGAGTTGTATGATTTTTCGTTACCGCGCAACTGAACACTTGATAACCTTGCATTTTTAAAAAAATGTTAGTATGATACGTTCCTAAAAGCGGATAACGATAAAATTGATTTCATGCACTCTCCCTTTTGGGATTTAGCGCCGTAGACTGACTTCAGCCCAGCAAGGAAAAGCAAAAAAAATGGCTCATGAAACTTTTCCTAACTATTCATCGTCATAAATCCCATAATTCTAGTTGTAGTGGGAGCAGTTGTTCCCCTGCAGCTTGTTAAATGCTTAGCTTAAGATAAATGCTTAGCTTAAGATAAATGCTAAGCTTAAGTTAAATGCTTAGCTTAAGATAAATGCTTAGCTTAAGATAAATGCTTAGCTTAAGATAAACGTGCAAATGCCTAGTTTCTTAGAAATTTACCAGAATGCTACGGCTGTGTGAACAAAAGAGCACATACAGTTTTTTTCTAAAACCTTTACGATCGTAAAGCGCAGGTACACAAGATGAAAAAGGGCGACCGACCAGCATAGTTCTTTAAATTGTCGTAAGCATCGGCCTGTACGGTCGGAGGCTGTCAGGGGCGTTTGAGCGAATTCAAAGACGTCTGTTCGGTTGATGTAAAAGTAGCAAATCGATTACATGCGAAAGTAATATAGAATGAACAGCTGTCAGCAGAATTGTTCCCTGGCTTTGCAATTTGAAGCACTCTTGGATTGGCCTTATTCTCACTCCAACATGATAACATGCAATGCAATGTTGTCATCTTTCACTTCTCCGTTGATTTTCAAATTACATTTCTCATCTCCGTAATTGTCGTCTACCTCATAACGACTAATGTAAGGGTGTTATATTAAAATACTCGAATCTAATTGCTTCCCAACAGCCCTTCCTTGTATTGGAGTTGACTTCTCAAACAACATTCGACCCTTAAGCTTAAAAATGCTATCAATCCAGTTAAAATCAAATCGGACCGGTGAAAAACCAATTAAAATCAAGGAAGAAAACTTAATCGCCAATGGTAACCAATCATTGGAACAACAATATGTTAAACCTGCAATTTTCAGCACAATTGCTGAAGTTTAAAGTTGGTCGGGATATTTTAGAATCTAGCAATTACGCTAATTGTCTCATTACCAAGTTTCAACCAAAGGTTATTTGGTGAAAGAACTTCGCACAATTCAAGAATTCGAATAAGGGTGCACCTTATTTCAAATCCGCCTCACACTGAGTGCTCGTCCACTTGCAAGTTTCTCTCCCGAATCGTTTCACTCCCTGAATTGTGCACCAATCAGTTTTGTTACCATTTCTCATTACAGGATAAGCTAAATTATACACGCATTTTGATTGGTTCTTACCTATTGGAAGGCGGAACCACTAAAGGGAATTTGCTTTTCATCGTAATGAAGCCATCTGTACTACACAATGAAGCAGAAGCACGGCCACATTAAAATCAAATTTTGCTGCACAGCGAGCCTAGGAAGCCAATAGCATCATAATCAGGATTGGAAATGAATATAGGGGATGCGACTTTTCGAACTCACCACTTTTTACCGGAATGCATTGCAGCTTTTTAACCAGAGTGCACTGCGCCATGATTGTTGTGTTTAGTGTATTGCGTTACATAGCGTTACTACTGTACGGCCATACATGGCCAGAAATACCGGACATCGCGACGGCGCACGCGCGGGTTTACTTGGCAATATGGCCGCCAAACTCTTAAAGGAAATGTATGGCAGAAATAAAACAAAATAAAATTGAGCAAGTTCTGGCTTACCGGGAACAAGCGCAGCGATCGTGTCGAAATCTTGAAAGTTTCCTCGGATATTCTGATTAAGTTTCTTTTACAGACGAATGTTACTGGCCCTGCTTTTTATCGATGTTTATTTTCGAAGCTTGGCTCATATAATGCTCTGTATTTCAGAAGCTTGAAACACAATTTTTGTAGTCGAACCAGATTTTGATGCGCCGTAGCGGTCAACATAATCGGGATAGACCACGTGCTGCGATCTCTTGAGGAAAAGCACCGTATGAGGTACTATTTCATCAATTTTCACCCTCCATGCTGATTTCTTCGCCCTGCTAATTGCCTTTAAAAACAGTTCACAGAAGCACAAATCAGTTCTACCGAAAGCAAAGATATCAAATGTCACGCAAGCATCTCGTTTGTATTGACCCGGGAATCACATGTCGTATTCTTGGGCAAAAAACTCGTATTTTGCCTCAAACCCTGCCAAATTTGGTATCAAAATTTTCAGTGAAAAACAAGCTTTCTAATGCTGTAGGAGACTTGGGATATGCCTTTAACCGAAGGTAAAATTGATCAGCATAACTATGTAGCTTCAAACATTCGCGGGAAAAAGAAAATATATTTCCTCTCTACTTTCACCGCTTTCTACCGGAACTTTCTTAACTCTTTTAGTTTAATATTTTAGAATTCTTAACGGTTGGATGAGATATGTCAGACAAGTTTAATTTACTTGATGCGGAGAAGTTTAAGAACGCTGTTAGTGACGTCGGGAATGATCGTTGCTTAAAATATGTTCGCTAGCAAAGTGTTTCCTCTGAAGGTATACTATTGACAGTAATCATCAAATATGACTGTTTGCGACACTTGTACGAGGCGAAGCAAGCTGCACTAACACGCCAAATAAGCTGTAGATATGTTGATCTACAAAATGTTTTCTTGGCTACGAAGTATTCTGCTAAGGTAAAGGAGGATTGCAGCAGATTAGAAGGCATCTGTGGGGAGGTCAAAAATAGATTTAAAAGAAAAAATGGGAAATCATACCGGGATATACAGCAGAGCGAACTTAAGCTTTCCCTGAGGGCAGACGAAATTTTAACTATATCTGAATTAGAAACCACAGTAAGACATAAAAGAATTAAGGATAGAGTTGTCGATGCAGTATTGAGAGAAAAGAAAGAGCTTTACAAAAAAATGGTTGTATATGAAGCTTCGAAAAAAGATATCAGTGAAGATCTTGCTGTGGCAAAAGCAAAGATTGACAGTCTTGTAACTGAAAATAATAAACTCCATACATACATTGAAAAGCTTGGACACTAAAATTCATCTAGAGTAATTTATATCAAAACCAGGAAGTTCAATGGAGTTGTTTCTTTAAAAGGTATGGGCTCAATCAGTGGATAAAAAAAAAAGTCAACAACCAGAGAAACAAATAAGACTGGCCATAAATTTGAAAAATAATAGCCTTGAGACCAAAAATCAATTTAGATGTATGAATTTCTCTTTCTAAACTTTCATCCATCAGAGAGATATCACACAGAATAAATTTTAAGGCAAAAATCCACAGGTGCAATAAAACTATTTTGGAGAAAAAAGATTTAAAGAAGTCAAACAAATATTGCTCTTGCTTTACCACAGAATACATATACCACATCAACCAATTATCATTTCTCAATTAATGTAAACCACAAATTGCTTCACAAAATAGGTGTTTTTGAATTCTGAATCAATCAAAGAGGTTGAAAAGTTGAATGGTGAGTGCCGGAGAATTCACCCCCAGAGGTCCAATAAATGGGATGCCACAATAGATGGGCTCTGAGTTTAATTGACAATTTATTAAACAAACATCAAGTATTAGATTAAAGTTGAAATGGTAAATTGACCACCGTTACGATTATAAAAGCTGACGTTTCGAGCGCTAGCCCTTCGTCGGAGCGAATAGAGGAATTGTGGGTTGTGTGGGCTTTTAATGGCAAAAAAAGGAGCTTCGTGATTGGTGGGAACATGGCAGCGAGAAAAAAAAAGAATAAATTAGTGGAATGAAAAGCGTTCGTTGATACCTGTAGGATTTAGACTGCCGGTTTGTAAGATGAGTTTTTTGTTCAATAGTTTTCCGGCTTTCCGTGCGACCTAAGTGTAAGGAAAGAACGCAGATTGCCATGGGTTGCTTAGAATGGTTAGGTAAATTATTTCGTTACCCCCACAGACGCAGCCCTAAACAGTTTCTTTAGAAACTATCAGCCTTTATTAGATTAAAGGTTAGACTATGAATTTCCATTCATTTCACAAATTAACAAATTACAAAATGGAATATTTTACACAGTTACACTTTTTATGCTGTTGATGCAGGGCAGTGTGAGACAAACACACTAGAATACATAAAAACATTCTCTAAGTTGCATAGCTTTTTTTCCATTTCAACACATAGCTTTTCCAAGGGATACCTAGGGACCTTGTAGAGTATCCCATCTATGTTAACATGATGAACTGGGGACCATGACAACACGGACTTTATCTTAATCGGGATTAGTCTATGGCAAATCCCTCTCCATGTTCGTTTAAAAAGTACCACGAACGTTTGGGAAGGTATTTGAACCTTGTGAAGTCATTTCTTTGAAATAAAAAATGCCCTCGGTGCTCTGAAGGAATTCCTTTATCATGTGAAACAAAGCGCCATATGTACAATTCCAGATCCCCATATGAAAAGGGTGAGACTTGTGAGGAACTTTTTAGACCAGTTAGCATGCCAACGGTAAATCGCCGACTTCCTTCTATAAGCCTTTCATCGTTTATTTGAGTTGGCCTAAAAAAGGATCTGAAAAATTAGTAAAGATTGCTTAATTCCGTATTACTCTTCTTTATTAATTTTTCTTTATTTTTAGAAAACTAAGATTGCAATCTCTAATAAACCTTAGCAAATCCAAAAATAAGATTATCAGGTGGCTCCCGGCTGCAAGCTTCCAGTGGCCATCCTCTCCATTTCAACATGTAATCATAACCCTACAATCACATTTATATACAGAATATATATACTTCAATAACGTGAGAAACTACTTGCCGACTCGGGGAAAAATTAAAAACACGACGAGCAAACGAATACTAACAAGACTTACCGAGTCACATTTCACCGGGTAATAATTATCTCCACATCAAAAGATCTTCCCATATTTCTTGTGTGGGTGGCAGTGTCGTACATAACAAAGAGAGGAATATCGTCATTCAACAAAATCCCCAGCCCCTACCCCCGAACTACCCCCAAACATGAGACCCATTCCTTCCAATACGAAGTTTATGGTTCATTTGTTGCTCCTGTTTACCTTTGAGGCGCCATGGATGATTTGTTGCAACTGCGGGCCTCTTTTTCCCTTGTGAAAAGAAGACGAAGAAGAAGGAACCGGGATGGCTGTGGCGGGAAAAGATGGAACGATGCCCTGGGCGAGAGAATTTGTCATCTCTCGGCTCGCAGATCTTGCTGAACTTGCTATAAGGTCGCGCGTTCTCATTAACAACGAGGTATTACTTCCCGATCGTTCAAGAGCGATCTAATTTCGAACACATTCTCTCACAATTTGTGTCAGTTCTTCCCTAGCATCACGCCCTGATCCGTCTTCCGACGCTATCTCTATTCATGGGCGTTAATGTTCGGGGCACTGGGTCCGCAATACAGCGTATTTAACTGGGGACTGGACGGGGATTTTGTTGAATGACGATATTTTGAATGT